AGCATCTCTGGGATGATGGTAAGTCCAGTTGCCCAGTAGAGCTGTTGGTGGCACTAGGGTTACCCAGCCCTTGTTCCTCAGAGAATGACCTATTATAAGTAATGTAGAGTGTCGTGTGCTTTTTTTTTTTTTTTTTTTTTTTTTTTTTTTTTGGTGGTCAGCTTTATAACACAGAGAGAAACTTAACAGCAGAGTCAGAAATAAAGCTGAAAGCCCATTGGTATCAAGGGATAGAAAGATGCCAATGGTAAACTCACAGAACTGCCTGAGAGAGGCTTCCTCCTACTTACTCAGGACACCAGCAGGAAAGAGGGGTGAGACTGGAAGTCTGGGCATGTGACACTGCAGGGGGAAGGACGAAGCCTCCAGCGGTGTTGCTAGCAGTCTACACATTTCTCTAAATAGGTAGGACACGTATGGATGAAGCTCCAGCCAGAACTGGTATCCAGTTGCCTAAAACTTCCACTCCCTTTGACCTGTAAGAACTTCCTGTCTACCCACTAGAGTTCTCTACAAATCCAATACAATACAATTAAGCCAAGCCTGGTAGGTGAACCAGGGCACGTGGCTCGATTCCCCTGCTCTACTCATTCACACACTCAACTCTGCACCTCCAAGTGAGCTCCATATTTAACCAACAGGCTGTGCTCAGGCAGTAAAGTGCTGATGGACAATGGGATATCTGGGTGCCACTTAGACATCTGCTTCAAAAATGATTTCACAGTCCTTACCTCAAAATTAAAACAAAACAAACTATTTGGAGGCTGTATGTAGTAATATTGTTGTCCAGTTTAGATGTACACATTTTGAACCTATCTTGTCCCAGGTTATGGTCTCATCTTTGAGGTAACCAACAGAGCAGACATGACCAGCTAAAAGCCTCCCAAAACCAAAAAAACTGGGCTTCACAGTTTCATAGCTTGTTTCAAATTCAGGAGAAGGTAGACCCCCACACAGCCAGCCCATAAAAGCACAGACTTAAAATATCAAATACGGCCTTGTGTCAATTAATGATCTGAACTACCTAAAGCCAGTAGCAACTTCACTCTTTCTGCCCATGTGCAGGACTTGAAAAATAAGCGATAAATTGTTTTAGCCTCGCAAATGCCTTGCAAAGCAGAGCAGACAATGAGGTATGCTCTGGTCTTTACACTGCATTTGCTGACTGCTACAGGGTAACTGTGAAATATTATTTTAGTATTGTTTTGTGCAGAACCTCATCCAAAACCCTATAATTAAGGCGCACATTACAAGTTTAATCTATCAAGCAACAACTAAAAAAAACACAAAAATTGGCATAACCCCACATTTTCACATTAATCTTTCCAAAAGCAATTCAAATCCTGTTTTTGTTAATTTTAAAACACTGCAAAAAATCCCTACATTTTTATTTTCCCTTCTGACTAACATGTTTGGGCGCTAGTCCACCTTTGTACTTCGTTAGCAGTGAGGTTGCAAACCATAGGAACAGGGCTTCACAGTTATGTAAACCTTACAAGGTGTCAAAAGCACTAAAATATATCAGTTTTATAAAAATTTCTATAACCTACAAGTGTACCAAGTCAGATTTTCCATTAATTTGTACTCTGTGTGAAATCTTTGTTTAAAATTCCAACATGAAGTGAACCCCTAGCAGTGGTGCACATTCTGTAGAACAGCCCTGCATTTAGGAGCTGCAAAAGCCTTCCTGGGGGCTGGGCAGGGGTGGGGGTGGGGGTCTCTGACACATAATTAGCATTCTCTTGGAAAGATGAATAACCAAGCTCTATTAATCTGTTCCAGGTTTCAAACAGGATTTCCCTGACTTAATCTTCCTAGAAGAAATTAACTTTTCTTCCCTTAAAACTACATCCCTATAATAAACTCAAGTTTCTTTAGAATGATGTGTTTCTATGATGAATATCTGAGTCCAACTTCCCTAGTAATTGAATCATTGGTATGGTCTGACCAGAGAGACTTTCCCCCAACTTCCCAGAAAAAGGAACCAGGAAGATGGGGAGAAGGGTGTGGAAATGGGATCTCTGGGAGCTACCTGATGCTATCTATGAGAGTTATCCTGACATAGGCAAATATTAAAGTTATAGCAAGAAGTAACCAAAATTCAAGTATTCAAGAGAGAAAATAAGTTATTCTCATTAGTAGAACTACATACAAGGGAGAATATTTTTAAATACAGAAACATTCATCAGTACATTTTGCAATAGTTGGTGCCATGATATTTCTACCTAACATCCTCCGCCAGGAAGAACATTCCAGTAGACACGGATTTCATGAAGTTTACCTTGCGCATAGTTACTTTTGATGCACTCCCAGACAAAAACCTGACAGTACACGCTTCTGAATACAGACAGCTACCAGTCTTGAAAGCACTGTGTGTACCAGGGAGAGAGGGAGAAAAACTTTGCAAGCCATACCCCTGCCTACTGTCATGAATTCAGCAACCACTGCACCAAGCCAAAAAGACCGAAGCTGTCTCCTCTTGTTCAGTGGAGCCAAGCTGTTCAATAAAGTTGGAGAGTCAGTGCAGACAGGATAAGCCAGGCCAAATTATTGACAGAAACATAGTGTCCACCATGGCAACAAGCAGAAGTCGGCTGCAAAAATGTAAGCAAACAGCCCTCTGCTCCGAGAGCATCTGCCAATGGACTTTAACAGCCAAGCACAGAGCAACTGTTTGAGCTTCGCTCTGCTTAACAGCTGCAAACCCAGGGGTCAAACCAAAACACGCAATTCACTGAAAACTTTCAGGAAAGAAGAACGGACTTGTCATACCATCGTCACACTTCCACTTTTAGCCTCCTTTTTTATGTATATCCTTGTTCAAGTACAAGTGAACAAACTCCTGGCCTCAAAGGGGCAGCTGCCAAAGCATCACATTTGAGAAGCTGCCCTAGATTTTCCAAACACTTCCAAAAGCAACAGTCATGGATTCAGGCATGCTCAGTGCCAGCCACTCAGAAAACTCAAAAGCCGATTCACTGCAGACAGTGCTTAGGATGGTGAGCACAAAGATCTGGATGAGGTGATCCTACTGCGCCAAGCAAGACTTACACGTACACTCCTGAATGCGGGCTTCTGAACTCCTGTGCGTTGTGTCATTCCAAAGGAAGAGGTACCTTCTTTTTTTGTATGGGTCTTCAGAGAAAAGTTTCCAACAATTTTTCCAGTGTGAAAAACAAGCTCTGCCAGGCACCACTAAGTAGGGACACCCTTGTCACTTACATAAACCAGCTGATGAGTTCACAGTACACGTGCTCACCATCCTTTCCCTTAACATCCATGCATGCTAACTGAACACCCTCCTTCCATCCTATTTTAATGCCGTTACTCCTCTCTTGCCCCAAACCTGCAAGGGTGAGAAGCAAATCATACTTACAACTCAGTGCCCGAGCTCTGGCTAGAGACTTTCTGCAAACTTCTCTTGGGGAGCTTTCTCTAGCCCTGCAGACCCTCCAGGAATATTCTCTTGGCCTCTCTCAGCCTCTCCCTCTCCCTCTCCTCCCAGGCTCCCATTAGAGGAATTAAAAGTGGTTGGAGCCATGCTAAATTTAACAAGCTCATTAGTATTCTTTGCGAGTGCTTCGGAGTGAACTCTCCCTATTGAAGCAGCTCTCTCCAGCAGAAGGGTCAGGCGGCTAATCATTAAATCAAACTAATGTCACCCTATCACAATCGGCCCCGGAGAAGGAGGGTTTATTATTTCAGTTTATGCTAAATAAACGGTTTTACAAATGGTCCCCAAGCAAGGTCAACAGCAGCTTCAATTACAAGACAAACTTCACAAGAGTTGCTATAAACCAAGTACTCCGTATTGACTTAGGGACAGGCTCAGCTCCACACTTTGCCACTAGCAGGATTGTACAGGAATGCATATTGTAAAATAAAGGAAGGGGTGAGCTTTTTTTTCTCTTTGCCAGAATTTGCGACTGCACGGCGACTCCCCATTCGCCTCTCTCCAACCAGCTAGCCTCTCAGCTCAATTCACCCCACACAAAGGCTGCAGCCCAGACCTCAATGGACCGAGTGAAACATGTTCAAAACTAGGCTCTCTATTGTGACTGAATTTCTTAACATCTTTTCAAAAAGCAGAGAATGCCTTGAGGCTAAAGGAAGAAACAGGCTAATGGTGAATTGGGAATTCTGAGCAAATTTCAGAGCCCTTCCTCCTAGCTTTTGAGGTTGAAAGCAAGCTCTTTCCTTTCAAGTTTCAAAGTCCTTTTTCCTCCCGCAGTGTCACAGAAGGATTTGAAAAGAAGGTAATTGTGCTCGTAGTCTCCCTGATCAGAGCTTACGTCCTATTTCTG